GATTTCGAGGGTGATTTCCCTAGTAGTGGGGATAGAATTTTAACATTTACGGTAGAGATCTTTTTAATATTTACGGAGAGGATACTGTATGTACTGAAATATGCCGAATACGCGGCTTCACCAAGCCACGTATTTGTAGAATCTTTCCAAGTAATCTCCCTTAAAATAGGAGACAAATCAGTGTAAGGGACCTTGAAATTGAAACCTTCACTTATACTCGAGGCTAACTTAGCTGCTGCATCAGCCCACTCATTACTCAAAATACCCCTGTGAAAAGGTCCCCAAACAAACTCAATTCTACATCCAGGAGAAGCCAAAGTTTCAATAGAATTCAATTCTTCTTTAATTTCTTTTAACAAAGAAGAAGATCGTTGACAGACAACTCTTCCATCAAGCGCCTCCAAAACACTAAGCGGTACAGTGCATATAATGTACGAATTGCTCCTATTCTTATTAGCTAAATTAACCGCCACAAGGATTCCATGATATTCGGCAGAAAATATCGATGCTTGAGACTCCGGGTAAAAGAGCAATCCAATAGAGAACAGACACATGAGACGCCAGTTGAAACAGCTCCATCCATCTTGGATCCATCAGTAAAAATTTGGATATACCCAGGATATAAATCATTTACAGCATTCTGGAAGACCCTGTTTGGACTGCTAGATGATGGAAAAAAGCGTCCAAGAAGAGTACTAATGCTTATTTTACTTAGCTGTACTCTAAAGTCCGTAAGTCTGCATATCAATGACGGATTACAATCCAAAATAGGCAAAAACTAAATATTTCGTTCCAGCAAGATCGAATAAAAGGATAGCGATTCCTTCTAAAAGGATTAGGGGAACAGTAGCTAAACTAGAATTAAAGAAGCCTGACATTTTCACCGAAAAGGGATTAGAATGACAAGAGAGAATTTTAAGTAAATATTCCAAGCCAAGAAATTTTGCTTTGTCCCGAATCAACGGCAGCTTAGCCTCCACAAGGGTGGCGTTATTAGGTAACAAATTTTTAAGACCCAAAGCAATTATAACTGCAAAAATCTTAATCTTCCCTAGCTGATTCCCAAGTTTTAGGGAATTATGAGGATAGTACCACATGCTACCATAATCTAATCTGGATATGATGGTACTGCAGTAGAGTAATAGCAAGGTCATATACTCCGCTTCAATTGTTGACAACGCCACTGAAACCTGCTCCTTTGACTTTCAGCTAATTGGACCTCCTGATAAAGTTATTACGTTCCCTGCGCATGACCTTCTGTTGTCAATGTTTCCAGTCCAGTCTGAGTCTGTGTAAGCTTTCTTAATTCTCTGTATGGCTTGAGTCGCATTCCTTTTCTTTCGTCTTCATTTTCCGGGTCCATTTTCTTCAATCGGCGTATATACTGATTTCCATTCCAAATTTGCTGATTAATTTTTCTATATATCTTTTCTGCGATAAATGGATACTATTGGTTGATCCCTCGTGTTGAACATTAATTCCTAAAATACTGTTTATCTGACCCAGATCTACTATTTTGAATTTTCGTTTTAATTTTAATTTGACTTCTGTAAGTGCTTTGATATCTTTTAAGGCCAATATTAAACCATCAACATAAACAATAAGAATTACCACTTTATCTTTCCGTCTTGATCGACCTTAGTTTTAAACATCCATCTATTAGTTAATATCTTCTTGTTTGTTGGTCTTTGCACTAGGATCCATGTCTTATTTTCTCGCAATGTTTTATATGTATTCCTTTCCTATTGCCAATAGTCATTCTGCACTATCATATCTGCTTTTGATTTCTTTTAATGTCATGGAATCTGGTAATTCGTCTTTTCGAACGTGGTGAATTTTTCTCGGTCTTCCGATCTTGCCGGTTTTTAATACTCGTGGGCGACCAGGTCCTCGTCGAAGATTTCGTTGTTCGTTGACATCTGTAGCCTCGGCATCATCTTGCTCTGGTTGGTTGTTCGAATCTTCACTAACGTTAGGTTCTTCTTTATCGCATTCTTCTTCGGAGCATTTTTAGTCGAGGGGGGTTATTCCTATCTCGACATCTTTTGACGGTTCTTCATTAGGCGTAATTTTTCAAAGAATCTAACGTCTCTTGCTTTTATTATTGTTTTCGTTCCTGTTTTTCAAAGGCGATAGGTTTTCGATTCATCAGAATATCCTACCATTACATAAGCGTCGCCTTTTGGCTGAAATTTTTCATGGTTTCGATTTTTATTTAACACGATCACTTTGCTACCGACGGTTCTGAAGAAACCCACGTAAGGCTTACAATCCAAAATAGGCTTGACCATACTTCGTATGGTGTCATTTCTACAAGAGATTTCGTCGCGCGTCTATTTCGCAGGCGTGCTGCTGTATTAATCATTTTACCCCATAAAGAGTCTGGTAAATTAGCCTAAACCTTCATGAGCCATTTCAACGAGCGTTCTGTTCGCTCGCTCTGTTACGCTATTTTGCTGCAGCGTGTATTCGACGCTCAGCTGACGCGAAATCTCCTCCTTTTTTGAGAAAGCTTGTAAATTCATTTGATAAATACTCTCGTCCGTTATCCGTACGCAAGACTTTTATTGTTCGACCGCACAGTTGTCCAAATCGAGAAATTCAGTGACATTTTGGTGTAACTTTTAAACCGTACGTCATATCATCACACAATTTCAACCAGATAATGTAGAGATACTAGGCTATTAATAGGTAAAAAAAAAAAACTGTATCATAATTGTTGTTGTTGTTGTTGTTGTTATTATTATTATTATATTGTATTGTATTGTATTATAATATTCACATATCTTTTTGTATAAAAATTCGTAATCATCCATATCTCTGTTACTATTTCTTAATATGAAATATAAATCTCTATTTTTATGAATGTTTGGCATTTTTCCTAAATGAGTGAAATGAAATCAATTTGAAAAAAATTGAAAAATTATAAAAAAAATTTGTATAATCTCTCTTTAAATATTTTTATACTTACCAGCAAAAAGTAAAATAAAGTGTAATAGATACAAAAAGAATAAAGTCCAGAA